CAGTGATGTACTTTATACTCCGCATCGCGGCGTTTGTGTGGGCATATGTCAAGGGAAATTTTGTTTACCGATAATAAGACTAGATGGACAGGATCCGTGTTTATTGTTAGCAGCCGCTGTTCTACTTAGCTGTTTCGTCCTACCGTTCGCGTTGGTTTCGTGCCGTTACCTGTGTATTCATCGTAGATTCTATAAGCGCTATTTGAATTTTGTCGTGCGTACTGTCTGATTGCGATTCCAATCGGGTCTGTGCCAGCGCATAGAGCATTGTGGGGTCCATTCTGCGATCTTTCAACCAGCTCACGATGGAAGCTTTCAGACTGTTGTACGCTTCCCATGTCAGACCAAGACTTGAGTATGATGGTGCGAGGACATACCCCTGCACGGCCGGTGAACTGGCCAAGTTGGGGCGTGTACGTGCTGCCACTAGACTCGTTGTTGGACTACGGGGGACCAGCTATGAAGGTCGTCTACAGGCTACTGGTCTGTTCCCAGTTGCGTACCGGCGCCTCAGCGGAGATCCCATCTGTCTGAGGAAGATCCTGAGGTGACATGGGCCCAGAGCTGCAACAGCACTTCCCTTTATGGACGGAGGACGGCACGCGGGGACACTCTCATTGCGGAAACTTCAGTCAGTTGGTCTTCCGTTGGTTTACCGACTCTCGCGGAGGTCGACAACACTCTGGAATTCCCTTCCAGCGACCGTGGTGGAGAAGATAGACGCTGATTTCAAACGGTGTTTGGATGAGCACCTGAAGGGGCTATTGAAAAACGAACACTTGTGATCGAACTTTCGACCCAGTGGTGATAGGGCTTACACGGGCACACTGTCCTCTACCCTCAATACTGAAACCCCAGATCCATTTGCTGTCTGAGGCCCAAAAAGCGATGAACAGTGGGGGCCTGATGGTTTGCAGCATACCAGTTCGAACCCTTGTGGAATTCAATGAACTGGAACGCAAACTATCCTGTACAAATTACAATGGGTTAATGATAATTACAATAATTTTCTTGGTCAACTTGTTGTAGATGAAAATGCTGTGCAATACCGGAATGACCAGGGCGGGAGGTTGCACCCGGGATATAACACGGTTGTCGATTTCGGAAGAACTTCTTCCGAGCATAAACTGGAGGGGTGTTAACGGCAAACAAGCCCTCGTTGGTAGCAAGACCGCCAGTCTTATTATCGGTTAACAGAATTTCCCTTGACATATGCCCACACAAACGCCGCGATGCGGAGTATAAAGTACATCACTGAGAGGATTCAGAAATGGATCAAACGTGGTCGTTCTTCAATAACAGTTGAACACCTTCCAACAAGTAAGTGGATCCATGAGTAAATTACAATGCTATGCTATATGGATTTTTATTAACCGCTTCACTAATCGGAATTCTTAACCTCCATTTCGGATGATGTTCCTAACGCGGACACCATTGAACACGGGAACGACCAGTGACACCTTTATTATCAAAACTTTGTAAACATGTTAATAAAACTATTTTTCACATTAACTGAGATTGTTTCTATTGGATTGGAAGAGATCAATAGAATTGGAGATTCAATTGCCAAATACGTAAAGTTTGTGAACACCGAGTTGCGCAGTATGTCTACATAAGACACAGCATAGAACCCAATGGTAATAAAGCGCCTAATGGGGTTGTTTTTTTAGATAACTCCTGGAGTAAATTCATAGTTATGTGTCATAAACCTTTCGGGGCTAAAGGGTCTGTAATTTTCGATCGATTTAAAGAGCACCGTTGCTGCGAAAATTTATTTTACTACCATCACCTGGGCATTTCCCATGTTTGTGCAATTGCGCGCTCAGGTGACGGTCGAGTGGGTCACTCATGGGATGCTCATGTGAGTTGCAGGGGATACCCAGTTAACGCTCAGGCTGCATGGGCTTCGACAACTGTTAGACAATGAGTGGCAACGGTTAGGTTTGTTTTCACGTCGGTTCTCGGACGTTGCACTGCCCTATAAAACTTTCTGCTGTGAGCTGCTAGTTTTATATCTCTCGCTTTGCGTCACTTCCGACACACCCTTGAAGTACGTGAATTTATGATTGTCCCGAATCACAAGCCTTGAAATTCGCTAATTATTAGTACTCACCCCGAGAGCTCCTCCAGTTAGATTGTCTCTCAGTTTACAACTAATATAAGACATATTTCTGGCGCTGCAAATATCGTGACAGATGCCTCATCTCGTCTCAATCTGGATTCATAATTACCATGGAACACTTTTCTTTTTTATAAAGATTTTTGTACCGTGATTTGTCTGGCACAGTCTGTCTTCATACAAGTGTGTAATTTAATATAATATTCATGGTTACCGGTCATTGACTCAGGACTCATGGCGGCTCTTCAACCAGTTGCCCCATCTCTGAGCCCTTCGTGGTCCTTAGAGCTTCGTACTCTTCCTACGGCCGCTTCGGACGGCTCCATTGTTTGTGATGTCTCTCAACGTTTACCCACACCTCTGGTCCCTGAACCGCTGCAACGACTGGTGTTTGACGCCTTATAAGGGTTACCACACCCTGGAGTCCATGCTACTCTCAAATCAATGATCCAGTTTTACGTTTGGTCGTCTATGAACAAAGACGTGCGCTCATGGGCACGCACCTGCGAGGCTTGTCAAAAGGCCAAGGTGCATCGCCACACGTACACTCCAGATGGTAGCTTTTCATCCCCTTGGCAGCGACCTTACTTACTTTTTAATTTACTGCTCCTTGGAAAGGATAAGCCGGCTCCAAACATAATCGTGATCATTATCATGGAGTTCTTTGGGAGTTTGGTACGAGAGACGTCCCCAGCGTCACCTCTAGCCTTTGCACAACCTAGTGCGAACTGCAAGGCAGCAGGAAGTGATCTCTCGCCTCGGAAGTGAGGGGGTCGATGACTTTAGTTTTAAAAGGCCAGTCACATTGACCTTTGTCACGACACCGTCATTGGGCTATGCGGCTTTTAAACAGGAGCCAGGTGACCAGCCTGAAACCCACCACACCCTGGTAGTGCCGCCGCTGTTTGTTCGCGACTGCTTATTTGTTGATGTTTGCCGACGACTTACGCACAGCTAACCTTCTTCGGTGAAGGTGTTCCCCTATCCACAACCCGGGGACGCACCTGGTAGCATTCAGCTCTGCTTAACTCGAGGGCAGCGATCAGTGAAGTTCGATTCACGGTATCTCGCTGTACGATGATGATGATGATGATAATTTCCATCCCCTGATTCTATATTCAGTCATGTTCACCTGGGTATAGTGGGACCCCTTGAGCCTTAAAACCATTTTGTATATCTCTTCTTTGACTTCCTGTTGTTAGAGAACGGATTATTTATCTTTGTCTCCTGTTCAATATTTTTCTTCAGTGTTATTTTAAAAAAATCATTCAAAGGGATAATGGAATATTTATAATGGAACCGCATTTTTTTTCAGGCAGAAAATGCTCTCGTTGTATCGTTGTTGGTCCAGTCTCCTTTCACACATTCCCTTTGGTACTCCAATGCCTGCCACCTTCGGTATTATCATAACGCGTGAAACTCATCATAAGACCCATGAAACTACTATGACCCCAGTGGAGCATACCAAAATGCACGTTGCGGTTGTACGAAAGTACAGAAAAACCATACAGGATCTTTTAACGTCAGGATCATTCGGGGAGGAACTTGCGTGCCTTCAGATAACGGATGTAAGTTTTACGTTTATCAAGTGCTCCTGTTGGTTGCAATAAGGCATTGAGAATGTCAGTTTGATGAAACGTATGATCTAATTGCCCAAATTAGGCAAACAAATGAACATGGGGTTATGCTACCTGAGCTGTAAAAACAAGTCAGCCACGTTGTTTTCTGTACTGTCAAAGGAACGTTCGTTTTTTATGCTAGCTGAGAGAGATTACTCAACCGATTTTGGTTTGGCGTGTCTCGTGTGTAATTTTCATAATAGAATCATATTATAACATAATCATCTGTGGGGAAGATACTCCATTTTCTCCGATGTTGAGCGACATCTTGCTCTTAGTCCCATGAAATGCTGTCCTGGAATACATCTCTTGAACCATCTACAGGGCAAGTCCTATTCACCACTTTTCTTGGCGAAGGTGTTTGCACTAAAATGGTAGGGCTAAAAGCCAATATTGGGACTATAAATGAATTGTTAAACCGTGGTCATCCAAGTCACCTCACGGAGCTGGAACCCCCTGATTCTAAACCTCACAAGAAGAGGCGTACGCACTTGTTCCACAACATCCTGGTTGCAATGGTCACCGGCTTGATTGTGTAATAAGTGTATTAGATGCGTTGACCCTAGGCTGTACACTCCGATTAACGCTACCAGTCCACACTAGATTGCTTTATTTTACACAGCACTCAATCTTTGGGAGTCAGACTTTGGTTATCCAAATGCTCGGGTTGTGAATCCCCAAGAACATTACCTTTTTCGGTTTAGGTAACCAGGCAATATTTCTCTGTACTGTCCCCTCTGCTGAGGTTAGAAGCATTTAACCTACAAAATGGCTACCATAGAACCATCGTAGTGATTCTTCGAGGTTGGACTGTCCCGAACTTACCATATGCGATGCAGATGGAGATAATTTTGCTCAACTCACATCGAACGTATAATTGTAACAGTGAATTCATAGAGAATTATCGCATATTCAACTCTAATGAACGGTTATAACCGCGAAGTCAGTCGCATTCTCCCAGGATATTTGTCTAGTCATTCATCTACCACTTATAAATATACGTAAAACAGAAATATTTTGACTATAAACCATAAACATTATATGTGAAAACCGTTTATGTTATTCAATTATGGACCTTAAATGTATCAGTTATTTGTTGTTTTTTTCTTACAAAAAGGATGGGGAATGTGGTCCATGTACCAACCAATTTGTTGTTTTGCAAGTAGCATTGAAGATAGGTCAGATTGTCTTATCCGTGAGATTCTCAGTGACCAATTGTAGGGTACTCCTGGGGATAGATGTAATCTCGTTTGAAGTGACGACATTGATAACGTCTATCAAAATCAAGGATGTAATTAAATACTGGGGTAATGGGAGCGTCGAATACGGATGTGATGGAAGTAACAATAGTATTTTTATTTTTTTTAAATTTTGGTACACAGATGTCCAACCAGTTTTCAGTGTGTACGTGCGTGTCGTGGGGGATAAAACGGTCTGTTGCCACTTACGCGTACCAGAACATCTGAAACAGAGATGAAATAGAGTGTTATTAGAGGAAATAAAGTAGCAGAAATTATGAGTCGGTGTACTTGTAACTGGATCGTTAATTTGCTGTCGTGTAGCATACATGGCATCCATTCCCAAGAAAGTTTAGGTGACCAGTAACTAACTGCCAAACGAAGTGGTGTGAACTTGAAAGAATTTTAAATAAAACTAAGCACTAATGACAACATCTCACATCGGCTAATCACGGTTGCCCCAAATGTTTCTGCTCCGGTCCCACGCTATTAGTAGTGATATATTAAGTGTTTCCCACATCACCAAGTGTGTCAGTGCTTCTCGGTAAATTTTACAGTACCCCCCCCCACCGGTTTTCCAATCTACTCTTCTAGTTCTCATCAAATCTGTTCTTTGGTCTAGATTATTCCCATGATTCGTAAGGGACACTTTGAAGTTCGTTGTATTCTTCCCAGCCTAACTATTGCCGATCAAACACATGCCGGTTCTTCTCACACGCAATCGTTGGCATTCAAGTTGCAATCGTTGATGAACGCCCAGTCAAAGGAAATCAGGTACTTACACTAATCTCTACTCGCTCACATGTCCTTCCTTCTCTTCTCATCTTGTAGGTCAAAAGCGTGTCAGCATCATGTGGAATACAAACGGCCCACTTTCCATTTCGTTGTGGAAACGGATAACGAGGTAATAACCTGCCACATCGCGTCAGTTAGACATTTATTCGGTTTCAGTTTTTCGGATTTTATCCCTTCCAATAGGAGTGGGCACTGATATCCCTGGTTTAAAAAGAGCACGCTTTCATATGTACTGTACAGACTAGTAAAAGTTGTTTTGCAAGATATATATATATATATCCAAAAGTGAATGTGAGGGACAAACCGTATAGTCAAAACACACCGTAAAAGGTATATGGAAAAAACCCACTGACGTAGCAGCTAGTTTATGGATCCTGTTTTTAAAGATGAAAGGTCGTAATTTGAAGTGGAGACGCAGAGCGGGAGAGTATTCTACAGTTTAACGGCTTAGGAGGATGAACCATGGGGAGATTGAAGTACGACAAGTAATGATGCGAACCTGATAAGGGTGGTTATCTCGCTGAGGTAAATTCCGTAAAACAGGAGTTACATTATGGAACGGACAGCGTAGGAGGCAAACTAAAATGGACTAATTCTCGCGCAGTTTTCCTCTCGGAAACGTTGGCGCGAAATGGCGAAGTCACCCTAAACAGTACCATTTGATAGGTCGCAGTAGCCACCACGGAAACCTAAACGAACACCAATCGTTTTCCGAAACCTTCACCTGCACATCTTCTGTGTCAGCTCACGCGTCCACAAGTTCCTTGTTCAATTGTACAAATATCTCCACTAAATTGGTCTCGTATGAACCTTCGTTAAGCATACCATTCCATGGTCGACCCTTATGTTTGGTTGTGTAATCCAGGTTTATACGAAGCTTGTCCAGCTTCCTTGGGTTTTGCATCCGTGGTGTGGCAGGTATCGACGTGATTGAAAGGCGCACAAACTGTTGCACAGGAACTGGTATTGCGTATCTCTTTTTCTGTAGTCATCTCCATCCTAATGTAGTACACGTGCAATGTTTCGTCATTATTCAAGCGCTGTTTTGAGCTTATCACTCTTATGACCTCGTCTACCACTGTGTAGAGTTCAGAAAAGGTGATATTGTTTCAACTCAGTAGGAACCACTATTAGTTCACCACGGTTGCGGTTAGGAAACGAAGATTGCTTGCTTGTTCATGTATCGGCAAACCCGAGCGGTGCGCCCCAAGCAGCTGCCTGTAATTGTTGGTTATGTGTTAGCTGGGTAATGATTCAGGCTCAATATCAGTGGTAGCTTTATTTATTTATGATTATTAACAAAGAAGTGTCATAGATTGTTTTTCGATCAACTTGGTTCTCCATAACTTGTGGCTCTGCGATTTGACCATCCTCGACCAGAACAGTTGAAATTTGTTTGATTGATCGGATATGGTCTAAAATCTTTGGACCGGAACAATCGCGTTCCAAACGTCACACGGAGCACCATAACTTGTCAGTCTACTTGATACAGATGGGTGATGCCCTAGCAATAATTTACAACATAAGCCGACTGCTTGGAAAACCTCTCTCATCCATTATTTGTGCTATTGCATGCTGTTGATTCTTCACAGCGTGGAATAGGTCTAAAGTGACGGTTAGTGTCATCCGTTGTTGGCAAACTTGCTTCTCCTTACCGTATTGACAGAACGCTGATATCAAGTGGAAGAAACTTGAGCGTCCGAATACGCCTCAATTGCATTTACAAGCTCTGTGTTTGTACAACAGATACACCTGATGTGATTGTCAGTGGTACATCTTTCCTAGCTATTCTACTTTACTACTCACAGTAGTGTGATATGGAATCGCATTTACTTGAAAAATTCTGGTTAAGAGCAAATAACAGACAACTGTGAGTTGGAATATAAATAAATCTAATCAATCGGGATTATTTTTAGATGTCTAAATGAACTTGTTTGATTTATTACAGGCATTAACGGATAAGCCTATTCCAGGAGGTTCAGACAGTTTGGATTCCTCGTTCAAAGCAGCAGACGCTCGGCTCACTGTTACCAAACCGGTAAATGTCTACGGTCTACCGCGTGATGAAATTCTGAGGAAGGTCAAATCCAGCTTGAAGAACAGAAATCACGAGCATGAACTGGTGAGCGTCGGGACTCTCGTGATTTTAGTGTGTGCCACAGGAATAACGTGTTTCTGTTTTNGCGAAATGGTCACTCGTTTTCGTTATGCTGTAGTGCACTGTTAGAGGGGAAGGGACTTGTCTTATATGGAATCCCGAAAAATCCCACAGGCTATCGGGCTTTCTATCTGGAAGTCCCTTTGCCGCATCATGACCGACACCCGAGTATGGATGTTGATTCAATCATGGCATCAGTCTACTCGGCCTCGGCTGAACATATTTTTCAACTTTTAGAGCTCAGATCCAGCCACGACGACGTTCTCTTGGCGCCAGCAACTCATGTAAACAACCATGTTTGAAACTTTGACATGCTGTCGATGGTGACAGTGATTTATGCCTGCTAAGCGTTTGGGAACTTGAATCGTGTCTGAGTTACGCTTGAAGTCATTTAATAAAGAAGAGTGCTGAGATTTAGCTTTTATCTCTATATTGCCCAATCAACCTAGCCTCCTTAATAAACCTATAACCACTCTTGTAAGGCACTCACGTATCCATTTGAATGCGCCCGCGCAGACGCACACACGGTTATTCTCACTTGTGGTTTACATGACCACAGTACCGACAGTCCCGTTTCATCCGCTTCTCATTTGTGATTTCATGTGCATTCCTACCATCAGCGGCGTGCCACGCTGTGATTCAACAACTTTGACTAAACACAAACAGAAAACGCTGGATTCTTTCGCCAAGCTAGGCATGTCTTCCATATGTTTTACAACAGAGTGTGAAAACACCCAGGCTTGAAGCAATAACCTCTCTTGAAGAATGACGAGTTGGGTTATTTTCCCCACAATACGTCAATCAAACAAGCCAAAAATTAGTTCGAAAACGCGGGGTTACGCTTACTACAAAACAATCAATGGTCTACACCTAAAAATCACTCAAAAGAACAAACTGGCCCGAGCACCTGTAGTCGTTTGCCTTCAGCTGCAGTGATTCATGCACTGACCGAACTGATTGATGCTTCGCCCAGCATATGCCCAAGTAGCTAACTCGATCTGGGACTCAAACCAAGGTGACAACCTAGACAACTAGAAGAAACCCGGCTTCTTCGACTGTAAAACGTATCTTAGCAACAGGTTACGTGGCTCACCTTACCTTGTACTTGACAATATAGTTAAGTGATCCAGTTCCGATGCGTATTCTTCTTCACCGAATCCTCGCTAATAAGGATTCAAAAGCCATTACTTGTGTATAAATTTAATGACCCAAGAAGAGTGTTTACTTGGTGTAGAAGTGATTTCAACTGACCGTTCTCTTCTCGAAGTATCCTCCACCGGCGTTCGTGCATAGTTCCAAGCGCTCAAGCCAATTGGTGAAACAGCTCTACCATGCCGAAGCGGGTAACCCTTCAACCAGTTCACTTAACGCCTCCGTTTCAGCTGTTGGCGACTCATCGGATTCCACGCATCATGCTCTGAATATCTGGAAACAATGCATCTTGAAGGCGCGTCATCATCAAAAGCAACTCGCAAACGATCAGCACCCTGCTGCAGCTGTCGGTTTGCAGCCATGACGTTCAAAGTCTCCAACCATGCGGTGTCGGAGTTCCTTGGACCCCAACCCGGAAGGCGAGAGACACCTACTCTATCTAATCGCTCCGTGCATTTCTTCATGCCTCGTCTCCACTTCATCTGCTGGCCTCCATGTGGCTTTCTCCAGCCTGTAACAGCCACTGAAAACAAGGCGCGCTGAGGTAGGCGACTGTCGGATATACGCAAAACGTGTCCTAATCAACGGAGCCTACTGAGCTGGATTCGATGAGATAGTGAGCTCTTGTTCG